TAAAGGAGTTCGACCATTCCTATCAGAAACATTGACATCAGCACCATTTTCGATCAGCAGTCGCGCAACCTCGTTTGTGAATGCAGTGAATAAAGGAGTTCGACCATTCCTATCAGAAACATTGACATGAGCACCTTTTTCGATCAGCAGTCTTGCAACCCCTTCGTTTGTATATTCAGCTGCAGTGAATAAAGGAGTTTGACCATAGCTACCAGAAACATTGACATCAGCACCTTTTTCGATCAGCAGTCGTGCAACCTCGTCGTTGGTATTTTCAGCTGCAATGAACAAAGGAGTTTCACCATTCCCATCAGAAACATTGACATCAGCACCTTTTTCGATCAGCAGTCGTGCAACCTCTTCGTTGGTATTTTCAGCTGCAATGAATAAAGGAGTTTGACCATATCTACCAGAAACATTGACATCAGCACCATTTTCGATCAGCAGTCGTGCAACCTCTTCGTTGGTATTTCTGGCTGCAATGAATAAAGGAGTTTGACCATAGCTATCAGATACATTGACATCAGCACCTTTTTCGATCAGCAGTCGTGCAACCTCTTCGTTTATATTTTCAGCTGCAATGAATAAAGGAGTTTGACCATAGCTATCAGATACATTAACATCGGCATCTTTTTTGATCAGAAGTCGTGCAACCTCTTCGATTTTTTTTCTAATTAACTTCAGTCGTTCGCCAGGTAACATAAACATAAATTTGCCTTCAATGACAGACGCGAGATTGATTACTACACCTTGAGTCATTAGGTCAATTGATAAATCAACGTTGCCATCAAGTATAGCTTTTTTCAAAGGACTGTCGTTTGATAAATTATTGGCCATAACAAAGTTGCTTGTGAGGGAAACTGCTGTCGCCTCTCTATACTGTCCTTTTCACTGTTTTAGCTTGTATTCTCATCATTTGTTCATATGTGTAAGTGGAGCCCATCAGGTTCTATTGATCAAAAGAGTATTTTAATATGAAATATCTATAAAATCATCAGTACCAGCAGTACCTGTTACTTTCTTGTCTTGAACTCCTCTCTGATCTTTATTAAGTTATAGAAATAAAGGAAAGTGGATAGTGATTAGAAAAGAGGTTATTTATTCGAGAAAAAGATCCTTGGAAATARATTCTGAAAAGTTTGATACGACCTCAAACAGATGAACTACAAAGTCAGAATGTTAGCAGATCGGGGTGAATCTAATATTCAATTATACTAATACAATTATTGCAATCATTTCGTCAATGAACGAAAATGGCTTCCCTGTTAAAAAAGTTTACCGGAAGTCATTCGGCAATTATTCTAATGAGAATGTAGTCTGTTTAAATAAAAGGACCTATTTCAAGTACACTTGTCGAAGTTTTCTGTACATGGACGGCAGCGTACTAGTCAGAAGAATCTCCAAAACGTTATTTCCAGGCAACTGTTTTAAAGAAATCCTTGACTGATAATATCAAACGCGGTAGACTAATATCAGACTTCATCTGAATATCATTGATATCTATACGTTTTTAATTAAAATTGACCTCTCAAACAGGCCAATAAAATAAATACTTTACAAAATGAAAGATGTCTATCAAAGATTTAAAGTCRCCTTTTTGTAAATGATAAACAAAGTTTCTTCTTGTTCTAAATCGAAMTCTTTGCCTCCACAAGACACATCTAAAGCTAGAAAGGTTATTGACTCAGTTTCGTAAGCATACTTATCGATCGCATG